AAGCCCGGACACATTCACACATTAGTCATCCATTACAGGCGCAAACGTCAATACTCACACATAGACCTGACTCAGTTTTGTTTTACGGCGCCTCTACACGTTGGCCAACACAGTGGCGAATGTAGTGGCCAATAGCACTGGCCAACGTGTAGACGGGGTGTTTGGGCTTCATTGGTATGTATTGGAACGATGGCCCGCAAGTTGGCGCGAGATCCGTGTGGTGTCGGTTTTTTACAAAAGGAGTGTTGGCAGAGTTTGGTCGCCGCGTCCACACGTTGGCCGCGCGTTTAGTTTGCTACAAGCTCCCAGAGTGATTACACCAATGATCTTACGGCGCCTCTACACGTTGGCCAACACAGCGGCGAATGTAGTGGCCAATAGCAATGGCCAACGTGCAGACGGGGTGTTTAGGCTTCATTGGTATGTATTGGAACGATGGCCCGCAAGTTGGCGCGAGATCCGTGTGGTGTCGGTTTTTTACAAAAGATCAAAGGATTGTTGGCGGAGTTTGGTCGCCGCGTCCACACGTTGGCCGCGCGTTTAGTTTGCTACAAGCTCCCAGAGTAATTACACGCATCTGATTTAAATTTTATATTCAAGCTTTGTAGGGTGGATGCCCCAATTACCAGCCTTTTAGTGCCAATTTCAACTTTAAACATTTCTACTACTTTAATTAGCGCGATTTAATTATTATTGAACATTTGTTTTCATCAATAAGCTATTTATCAAAAAAAATTAACGTTTTTTTACAATCAGATTATTACCAGAACAATTTTAAAATGAAAAAAAATGAAGCACGTCGTTTATACGTGGTCAAACCATGCAATTATATTAGAAGTATAGTTGCAGCACGAAGGTCGGCTCGACCGGGGAAGGACCACGCTCTCACAGAATATCAGCGTAAAATAGTAGCTTAATGATGCTGTGTTTCGTATAGTGAGTGTAGAGAACCAGAGACCCTTTTTAAAGGAAACGAGGCATTTCATCTTAGCCCTCACGGGTGACAACGCATCTGCATTTTGATTCGTAATCGAGGATAGATGTAGATGTCTGTGGGCCACAGTAACCACTTACCATCAGGTGCACTGTGTGCTCGTTTGTCACACTATCCTATAAAAAAAAAAAACGTCGATTTCTTATAATTTAATCGTGCAAGATTTCGAATCATCATCATCATTACAGCTGTTCACAAGTCCATTACTGAACATCCTCCTCCACAGATTGCCGCAAAGCATGGTCCTGAGCCACTTTGCTCGTCATGAGTTTTTCATTTATGTTCTAAGTTATAATTAGTACCTATTATTAAGGCAGTGTTAATTATATTTATTACTATTGTTTTTGTCTTTCTCAAAAAATAATTAAATTACCAAATAAATTATAAGGTGTTTTTTATATACATCAAATTTCTGATAGAAATGCAAGTACATATTTTGCTAAACTTTAAAATCAAAACCCAATTTTAAAACACAGACTAATCGATTACAACTCCTTTAACTTTAAAATAAGTTAATTTCTTATTAATGGTATTTATTCCAGTTTATGATGCATGTAAAGAATAAATAAAGCTAATCGTTTATCGTATATCTATTTACAGCCCCATTAATAACCACTATTATTTTATAATTCTTTTATAAAAACATTAACCCCACACTAGGATTTTCTCCCGTATCGCGCAGGCAGTTTACAAACATAAATTGCACAAGGACACACATCCAGACCTGAAACAATTATTTGTAGGACATACAAATACTTGTTCCGTGCGGGATCAAACCCGCGATGCCCGGCGCAGCCACTCATTGCTGAGCCACTGCGCCATGGTGCTTATAAATTCGTCCGCATATTGGCCCGAACCGAAGTAAACTGAACGACCTTCCAACGTGTGGACGCCGTCACCAACTCTCGGCCAATATATTCGCCACTCCATTCGCCACTGTGTTGGCCAACGTGTAGAGGCGACATTATATGTAAAAGTAGATTACACGCATCTGATTTAAATTTTATATTCAGGCTTTGTAGGGTGGATGCCCCAATTACCGGCCTTTTAGTGCCTCATTTTGAAAGGGGACATAATAATTATTAATGATTAAAAGAAAATTGTTTGTAACATTTAATTATTCTAAGTAGTTTTTTATTGTGTATACAAGTATAGTACAGTGGTACAGTATATAAGTGGATTCGATTGTTATAAAAGAGCAGACCTAATTGCGTCATGATTTTTGATTTTTTTTTAAATAAAAAAGCGTGGCAAACGAGCACACCATAGAATTAATAGAGCACACGTTTCTCCTGATGGTAATAGAATGATGTGGTCCACAGACATCTACACCTATCTTTGATTAAGAAATAAAATGAAGATGCGGATTTTTTTATAGTATAGAAGGACAAATGAGCACGCAGTCCGCCTGATGATAAGTGAATACTGTAGCCTATAGACATCCACATTTATCCTCGATAAAGAATCAAAAAGATTAGGATGGAATGGCTCGTTTCCAGTAAAAATGACTGCTATTTTACGCTGGTATTCTGTGAGAGCGCGGTCCTACCCCAGTCGTGCCGATATTTGTTTCCAATAAAAAGGGTTTCCGGTTCTCTACACTCACCATACGAAACACAGCAGCATTGAGCTGCTATGCTGCCGGTCGATCTGACCCGAAAGATGTTTCATTTAGCCTAAGTGCAATTACGGTTCGATCTTTAAAAATAATTAAATTTTCTGCATTAGCCTGCATTACATTTTAGTTTCGAAGAGAAAATGTTAAAAAAAGGTTATTTTAAATCAGTTTTAACGTAAACATAGGTCATAATAACGTAAGCATACAACCAAAATATATTACTATCTTAAATCGAAAATACAAGATGGATTTATAGACAGATTTAGATTATATAAAGGCAATTACATGATTCTGTTGGTGGACAAAAGACTAAAACAATATTATATCAGTTTAATTATTAAGGTGTACTTACGTAAAGTAAGCGCATATTAAAGTTTTTGGGGTTACAATTGGTGCACCTAGCAATGCTTCGCGATTTCTGTCCGTGAATATAATTCGTAATAATTGATAAATTTTAATTTTTTTTAATTGTTGAAGTTAGGTTATGAAAGCACTTGTCATCAGGCGTGATAACTCTCTGAACCAGTGGCAGTCACTAGTAAAGTGGAATTTATGTCAATGTTTTTAACGGCAGTTATGTTGAAGGCATGCAGTAATATTGGATTTGCTATTATTCAGATCTATCAGGACCCTTTCTGTAGTTCCTAGGTGATATACCCATAAGAAAAAAAAAGAAAAATATTTTCCCCATCGGTTTTCGGTTCTTCGAGCTATATGGCTGGCCATTGCCACTTCAGATCACTAATCCGTTGGGCTATGTCGGTCACTCTGGTTCTACCGCAAATATCCCCATTTCTAAGTTACTTTAAATTATAATACCTAAACATGATGCCAGTAAATTAATAAAAAGAATTGAGCAGCCGTAGCCATAAAATTTTGGACTACTACACAATAATTTATTAACAATTTATTTTAAAAAATCTTTCAAATTTGTACTTATTGTATACAAATAAATTCAAAATTGTCTGACTACATTAATATTAAGGACTAGGTACCTAAGGCGATTAGGAACTATTTACTTTTACTTGACTTCATTTACAGGAGATTAGGTATTATGTTTAACCTTTTTTCAAACAAATCTATGACAAGACATACATATCTCTCTTTATTAGGGGAATTAAAGAATTAAAATAAGGTGAAATCTAAGACACTTATCTTTATGGTCCTTTAAATAAATCGTTCAGATTCATTTACTGATTGGAGATTTTTACGATAACATTATTTAACTCAGCCAGTAACTCGCCGCGGAAGTCCAAAAATCAAGTCTTATTCCAGCAGGTGGTATAAAAACATTTCGTATCGCTCTGTAAATCTCCATGGGCTTGGTACATAGGTAGGTACATTCTTTTTATTGAATCAGCCTTATAAGCGGTCACCTTATAACATGCAGTGAACTATCTAGATTTTAAATTCATCCCTTAGCAGATTTTTCTATAGAAAAATCTGCTAAGGGATGAATTATAATATTAAAAAATATATTATAATATACAAAAATTGTTTAGACACTGACTTTATTTTCTTTGTTTTTGGTTCGGGCTCGTTAAAACGAGATCCCTATTATTGCTGTATTCGTCCTTCATCTGAAAATTTCCTGTCGTTACAAATATTCGATCCATGCCTGAGTAAATGCCAAGGAAAATACAATATACTTACTTAATTTTACCTTGAAATAAATGTGTTAATATCATTTTGTTGTAAATATTGTGTAAAAATTAGTCTACATTCTTGCTTATTTTTTATTTTTCTTCATGTTTTTTAAGGTTGACTAAAATAACAGCAATATTAAAACATAACAGTCATGGCACCCGTTATTTCTCAAGGGAAATACCTAGATATAGGCGTTTCCGCCGTCGCCGTGTGTTGGCGGTATGCGAAAAACTTCCTCGGATATCTCTCGGCACTTACTAGGGTTGCCAGATGTCCGGTATTTAAGCGTACAGTCCGGTATTTTCGAGGCCTGTCCGGTAAAATATAAATGGTCATACCGGACAGAACAATGTCCGGTATTTTGAGGAAAGTCGGGGCTACTGGTCACAAGCGCCTACAAAAGTAGGCATATGAAATCCCTAAAACGCAAAACTCGCGCGCCCTCCTCGCTCGCTGTTTGTATCTGCGTCTGCGGGCTCTCACTTCACCACTGTATACCCGTCTCACTCACTCGTACTCGCTGCCTGCGTCCACTCCCCCACTCGCGCGCGTCCGGTGTGTTTTGTTTTGATTTTTCGAGTTTTGTTTACCTAGTCGATAATTAGATTACGCAACGTTCGGGAGTGTTTACGCAGTTGACCTAAGTACCTACTCGTTGAAACAAGCAAAGTTGTTCGTCGTAGTTGAGTGTATGTTTGTGTTTTTGACTGTTTGTTGAGTTTTACACAAAGCTAATGGAAAATGGAGGAAGAAGAAGCTTCCACCAGTTCTGCAACACCGCCAAAGAAAATAAGACGAATGTGCCATTATAATAAAGACTGGGAAAATAAATATTCTTGGATAACTAAAGCCAACGTCGACACTAGAGCTTACTGTAAAATTTGTAGAAATGAATTTGCTGTGGCTGAAGGTTTGAAGGGGGTGAACCAGCATGCCTCTACAAAAAAGCATAAAGAGGCGGAAAGTGCGCAAGCCAAGTCCCAAAGAATGGACTCTTTCTTTACGCCTAAAGGAAGCGCACAGAGTGAAAAAGTAAGCTTTGCCGAGTTAGCAGATATTTTTCACTCTGTAAAACATCACATCTCCTATTTGGCTCAAGATTGTTCATTAAAGGTCAGAAAACAAACCATCACAGATTCGGAAATCGTGAAACAAATGACCGGTGGGCGCACCAAATGCACTGCCATTGTGAATCAAGTTCTGTACCCTTTCAGTGTAGTTCATTCAATGGAACTGGTCCAAGAGGATTTGAAAGAAGTCATGCCTTTTTTCGTCGCTACTGATGAGTCGAATAAAGGAAACAAGAAGTTGTTCCCAGTTGCCGTTCAGTATTTTACAGCAAAATCTGGAATGTGCTGAAAAATTTTAGATTTCTACGAAGATCCATTCGAAGACTCGCGATCTATAAAAAATCACCTGTCCAAAGTCTTAACAGAAGCAGATCTTTCTTGGAGCAGAGTAACTGCGTATGGAGCAGATAACGCTTCTGTTAATTATGGAGTGAATAATTCGGTGTACCAGAAACTGAAAGAGGAAGAGAATAGTAACAATATCGCTGCCCATTGCAATGATCATATAATTCATAACTGTGCCAAAAATGCTTTAAAATGTTGCCAGTTGACGTAGAAAACATCGTTCTGAAAACATTTTCAGAATTTTCCCATGCAGCAAAGAAGAGACAAGACCTGAAAGAGTGCTTTGAATTTTATGAAAGTAAATTCAAAGAGGTCCTTCGCCATGTACCCACTAGGTGGTTAAGCTTGTTCAAAGCCCTGGGTAGAGTTTTGTTATCGTGGGGGCCGTTAAAAAAATACTTTCTCGAACTAGGCGTCAATAATTGTTCACCGACTATATAGGCTATTATAAAAGACCAAAAAGATAATCCCACAACAGAAACGAACCCAACTTATACCGAACTCTATCTATACTTCACGCACAACTTCATGGCGTCATTCCAGGAAGTGTTACTATTACTGGAAAATAACGACACATTAGCTTTCAGTCTACACAATATTATGACACAATTCCGGGACACAATAGTGAAAAAAATTTATGATGAACACTTCGGAATGAAAGTGCGTATGGCCATGAATAAAAAGTACCTATCGGATGAAGAAACTCAGGAGTTTAAAAAACACGCCCTGATTGCTTATCAACGAGCTGTTGCTTGTTTGGAAAAGTGGTTCCAGTTCGAAAACTCGGTGTTCAGAAGCTTCAGTTGCTTGGACCTTGAACGCGGTCTACCAACTCTGGACCAACTAATTGAATTGTGGACTCTAACGAGAAGCAACGACACTCCACCGGAAGCACTCTACTCAGAGTTGGCTATACTTAGTAGTGTTTACCAGTCCCTGGAGGGAAAGTCAGTGGATATGTGGTGCAGCTTTTTTAGTAAAGAATCAGCGCCAAATCTTCTCAAATTGGTTCAACATGTATGCAGCATTCCTGTATCGAACGCCTTCGTCGAGCGCATTTTCAGTGTGATGGGGAATATATGGACCAATGAACGAAACCGCCTTGGTCTAGAGACTGTGAAAAGTGAACTGTGTGTTTTTTTCAACATAAACTCGAGCTGCACTGATTTTAAAGAACGTGTGGCGACGCTGTCGTCGCGCGCGAAACACACCGAAGCCTAAATCACGCTATCAACATTCCGAATCATGAACAGTATATATAGAACATCTCCGAACTATCACACGGAGCGTTGGCCGCTCCCCGGGCAGAACACCTTGCCCGGCGGGAGATCTCCCCTTTTCCTTTCACGGCCACAGTGGTGACCCCGACGTGATCTGAACACGCAACCAAACAACCTTCGGAAACTTCAAGCTTCATCATCGTCATTGAATACCCCACCCATTCGCTCCCGAGCAGATATCGTCTGCAGTCTTCATATCCTGCAAGCCAGCTAGCGTCACAAGGTTCATCGCAGCATTAGAATAATAATGCTTCCTGTTCCTTCAAGCTACTCTCTGCGCTACAGTGTTCGGCACGGCTCTGAGCCTTACTGCTCGCCTCTGCTTCACGGCACTCTCGCAGATTACTTGCCTTCTTCTCGACTCACCGCAGACTACAAGGCAATATCCTGGCACTTGCACATTCGTCGACAACGAGACTGCACTATCGACCTCCGGTCTGAGCAGGGGGGTGATGTGGCGGAGCTGTCGTCGCGTCACAAGCGAAACACACCGAAGCCTAAATCACGCTATCAACATTCCGAATCATGAACAGTATATATAGAACATCTCCGAACTATCACACGGAGTGCTGGCCGCTCCCCGGGCAGAACACCTTGCCCGGCGGGAGATCTCCCCTTTTCCTTTCACGGCCACAAACGTGTTGTATCAAATAAAACACTATTGAAAGCGGTTGCGTCAAATGCAAAATATGTTAAAAAGAAGTAAGTAGGTACTACCTAAAAGTAGTACCTAGGTACAGTACAACATACATAAATTAGTTTTAGAAGAATGATTTAACTTTATTATTTGTTCATTGGAAGTTCCTATTATTTTTGTTAAACATACCTATCTAGTTTTAGGTGATTTTATTTTTTTCTGAAGTTCCTACCTTTATTTTGTTAAGTAAGTAGTAGATTATAATATTAATACAATTGTTTAATAAAGACTTTCTCAAAGTAAGCATAGTCTTGGCGACCACAATTTTATGACTGCATTATATTTTGTTACTAATTAAGTTGATTTATGTGATGTAGATTAATAAATAAAAACTATTAGTATAAAAAACCCGTATTTTGTTCGAACTAGCTTACAACCCCCCCCCCCCCCCGTTTGGGGTTGTCCGGTATTTTTTTCGCGACTCACCTGGCAACCCTAGCACTTACCCAACATGGAATAAACTTTTATACTAGTGCGAAGTGTGTTATCGTAGAAGCATCTGATCTACTTACTCGATAAAAGAACTTCTGCGCTTCTTTACGAAGTTTAATAAATAAAAACCATTTCAACCAAATCACGGTTTCTTTCGGACTTAAATTGTTCCTATATTTCCAAATAAAAATTATGAAAATATTTTATTTGAAAGATGTAAAGTATTTGTTTAAATAGACTTAAATAAGCCTGAATACAAATTTTTACAGGAAAAGCAAAATTAGTAGCATCTTCGTAATAACAACTCAAATTAATAAAACACTGCCCACCTACCAAGCGTGGCAACTATGGCAGATAACCCTCCTATGAGGCAATTTATAGCGACGGCCTAATATGTTCAGCAGTGGTATATTGGTAAGCCGTCGTGAATTAAGGATGAATGAAAATTTTAGCAATACACAGTAATATGTTTAATAAATTTAGTTTTACTTGTAACTATAAATTGTTCTTTTTATTTGACTTCAATTATAATTACCTGCATTCGTCAGGTATATATATATACAAGAAAATATAGGTTTTAAATTATAGGAAATTTAAATTTAGTCAAAAAACTGGCATATACTTGTTACCTTTCTTCCTTCATCAGTTCCCACTGAGGACCATATGTAGTATATTATTTTCTATTTTATTTATCAATGATATAATATACATATATATATATATATATATATATATATTTTTTTTTTTATATATTAACAAAATCATATCTAATCATATAAAATCATAATAAACTTACAAAATCGCATTATATACGAGTACAAAAAATCTAGTTACGCAATGATTTCGTATTCTTACGTAATCATGGCGTTGTAGGTGACTAGGTTTGTAATGGTAATTATTACGCAATGATTTCATAAGAATACGTAATCATTGCGTAAGTATGTTTTTTGTATATCAATGCGTAAGTAATCAACATTTCTTCCGAAAATCCACGTGTATTTTTTCGCGAATTATAAATTAATATAGCATACTACTTTAATATTAAGAAAGAAAGCAACGCAACGGTATGACACGCCATCCATCTGATGAATATGAATGAATATTTATCGCTCTGTTATTCCCAAGACCAAGTTGCTTCAGAAAAATATTATGACTGTTTTATTTATTCTCCTGTAGTTATACAATATGCGTATTGTATAGCTAATACCAAAGGACTTGATTGTAAATTTCTTAAAAATAGAAGTCTATTATATTTCAATTTTGCAAATAATGTATACATGTACACATCAGAACTTTACACTGTGTGCACCGATTTTGGGGATGATTCTTTTTTTATTTGAAAGCTAGTACTTCTCGTGTGGTCCTATACAAATTTTATCAAGATCTGACTAGTACGAGGTCTGTTTAAAAAGTATCGCGAAGTTGAATTTCCGCGGGCTACGTATATTTGATATTTGATTTTTTTGTAGCCTTATGTTGGTACTCATGTCCCTTACGCTGACAAGGTCGACCATTTTGAATGTTTAGTTAATTTTTGACAGCTGTTTTGCTTGGATGTGTTTTGGCTCGTCTTCGATTTTTGCCTATTCCAAAAAATGGATCAAAGAATCTGTATCAAATTTTGTGTGAAAAACAAAATTAAGTGTGCGGACGCATTCCGAATGTTGACTGTGGCATATGGTGAAGCTACCTTTATTCACTACCTCACAGCTACCGTATTCCTCAGACCTGGGCCCCTGTGACTTATTTCTGTTCCCAAAACTGAAGAGGCCTATGAAAGGACGACGCTACGCCACGATTGAGGAGATAAAGACGGCATCGAAGGAGGAGCTGAAGAAGATCACGAAAAATGATTTTTTTAAGTGCTTAGAGGATTGGAAAAAACGTTGGCACAAGGGGGATCACTTTGAAGGAGACAAAATAGATATTCATGAATAAATAAATACTTTTTGAAAAAATAAAAAATTCGCGATACTTTTTGAACAGACTGTGTAGTTTTTTAGTTATCCTTAATAATGCGTGTTTAATTGACTGTTGTCCTCATTTTAATTATAATGAAGTCGGTCGAACAAAATTTTTAATTTTACCACTTATAGTATATTACAAAGGGATTCTTCGGGAGTTCTACCAATTATTAGACAGTTAAATTCGACAAGTTTTGTGAAAAGGGTCTCTGGTTCTCTACACTCACCATACGTAACACAGCCGCTATAAGCTGCTATATTTTCAAGAACTTATGGATGCATTTTTTTAATGTTTAAAAAAGATATTACAACCCCGCCTTCCTTGTCTACCTTTTTGTTTTCGTATACGAATGCATTTGCGTGTTAAACGACTTAAAATCTACTGATTACTGGCAGCAGCTCATGAGCACAATGTTATATTCTAATAAAGAAGACTACAGATGCGCAGTTAGGATAAGTCAGTAGGACTAATATTGAAGACCTCATAGCCTGTAAAATTATATTGCGTGCATGTGGGCGCGCGCACGTATGTGTTTGTTCGTAAGTAGCTGTTTCTTTACCAGCCTATATACTGATCAATATTCTTCTTGTGTGTAGATTATGTCAACTACTCATCTATTTTTCATACTTTGCGCTATATATAAAACAATTTTAAGAAGTAAACAACTAAGTCAATAAACTCCAAATAGAAGAAATGAAGAAAGAAACATAATATTTATTTTACCAATATCTACCGGGTAGCTTTAGAGATCTCGTGAGGAGTCAGTCAGTTAGATATATATATATATATATATATATATATATATATATATATATATATATCTGATAAATTTTTGAAAATATGGCAGCTTATAGCGGCTGTGTTACGTAAGGTGAGTGTAGAGAACCGGAGACCATTTTCACAAAACTTGTCGAATTTAACTATTTCATAATTGGTCCCGAAGAGTGCCTTCGTAATATACTATAAGTGGTAAAATTAAAAATTTTGTGCGACCAACTTCAATATAATTAAAATGAGAACAATTGTAAGTTAAACATCCATTATTAAGAATAACTCAAAAACTACTAGTCAGATTTTAGCTTTAAGACAAAAAAAGAATGATTACCAAAATCGGTGCACTCAGAGAAAAGTTCTGATGTATACTTTATTTGCAAAATTGAAATGTAAATGTCATGTAAAATGTTCTTAAAAATAGACTTGTATTTTTAAGAAATTCACAATCAAGTCCTTTTGTATTGGCTATACCATATAATAATAATATCTACCGGGTGGTTTTAGAGATCTCGTGATGAGTAAAAAGGCGTAGGGAATTGACGACCCCATCGCCCGCTGACGTAACAGTTATGTGACAAAACTGATACGTCGGCGCAGTCAGTCAGCACCCTGCCAAGAGGTGAGAGCGCCGTGCCTAAGCAAAATTGTGGGTGCAAAAGTCCGTTTGTGATATGACCGAACCACGAAACGGTGCCGGGCTTGGGCGTCTCCCGTTATTTGGCGCCCATAAAATGGATGATGGCACAAAGAGAAACGCGCATAGGGCCACTGCCTGGGGGTCGCCGGGGCGCGTCTGGAGCTGGCGCTGGACGCGGCAGCATGCGGGCCGCCAGCCAAGCGCGAGGAGCTGCACGGTCACCTAGCAGCCCTCCGCATCTATCATCCCCACCAGAAGGCTTGGTGTCGGCTGGGTCTTCTCAAGAAAACGGCACCCGCCGCTGGTGGAGCACGTCGCACGCGTTGGTCACAAATAATGAACGCAAACGCACTGCGGGCATACTTTAGGGCAAAAGAGGAAGAAACTGGATGTTTATCGTACCGGGCTAGGATGCATCGTCTTTTTGCTGAGCTGGAGCCATCTTTAACCGTCACAGAGAAAAACCTAGCAGTCCGAGTTCGGTATATCTTGCGATCAAATATATTTGATGTCGCCGAACTCGAACGGCTACGACGTGAGGCTGTTCCCTCATCGGATGAAAATGCTACGGCTGAGGATGCGGCGCCACAAATTGTAGAGCAACTCGTAAATGTGGATGCCGCCGTGAATACCCCAGTTGTGGTTGATTCAAACGATGATGGAACAGTCGCCCAGGAACTGGAATTAGAGCATATGAGGAGTACATTGGAAGAGGCGATTGTGGAAACGCGCAGTACGCCTCTCGAAAATCGACCGCGACTTCCCCGCATAGCCCTAAGCAAGCGGAATCGGGCTGTCGTGAGGGCTCTGAACCCAATGCTGGTGACCTATTTGGAAGCCAGCCGGGACCTTTGCGAGACGGACTCAATTCTTTTTGGCGCCGCGCTGGCAGTCTGCCGTATCATAGGCGCCAAGATTTCCACGACTGGACGCGATACTGGCCAAAGTAGCGCTATCTCAGCATGGGGAAGAAGAATTGAGGAACGTATCGCAAAGGCTAGAGCTCTCATCGGCGAACTGATATGCTTCAGATCAGGCAATAACAGGCCATGAATTGTGCGTCTCAACCAGAAGTCGCTCCCAAGCCTCTTATTACTGGGATCACCCATTTGGTTCCTAAGGACCAGGGTACCACAGACCCGAGCAAATACTGCCCCATCACGTGTCTACCGACCATATACAAGACACTAACATCCATTTTAAGTGCGAGAATCACTCGCCACCTGGACTCAAATCAGGTGATGTCGCGCGCTCAAAATGGATGTCGGGGCGGCGGTCGTGGAACCAAGGAACCACTCCTCATTGACGCGGTCATTGGCAAAGTGATGAAACGCAACCGTCGGAACTTCTCCGCCGCCTGGATAGATTACAGAAAGGCATTTGACTCGGTGCACCATACATGGCTAAAGAGGGTCCTCGAGCTGCACAAGATTGACTGTACAGTTCGAGACTTACACGAGCAGTGTATGGGGCAGTGGAGTACGATCCTCTGTCATCTAGGCGAGCGGATGACGGCTGCGGAAAGCCGCATAACGATAAGAAGGGGTATATTCCAGGGCGACTGTCTGAGTCCAATCTGGTTCTGCCTCTCTTTGATCCCTCTCAGTACTTTGCTGGAGGGCTCCGGGAGGGGATTTCAGCTTCGGAAAGGAGGTACAAAAGTGACCCACCTTTTCTATATGGATGACCTCAAATTATTCGCCTCCAGTCGCTCCCATCTTATGGAATTACTAAGCATCACTTGTGAATTTAGCAATTCTATTAGAATGGAGCTGGGGACGGATAAGTGTGTGGTCCTACATGTTGAAAAGGGAAGGGTTGCTAAATCTAAGGGCATAGAATTATCTATGCCCGTCAACTTAAGGACCCTTTCCGACGCTGAAACATACCGATACTTGGGTATATCACAGAACATCGGTGGGTCATCTTCGGTGTTTCATGGTATGAAACAGTCAGTTTGCGACGTGTTTTATGCACGCTTGACCAAAGTGATTAACAGCCTTTTGTCCGGTGTGAATAAGACGCACGCATATAACGGCTGGGTCATGCCCGTCCTCATGTATACCTTTGGCATACTCAGGTGGAGTCAACTGAACTAAACGCCCTGGATAGAGAAGTCCACACTAAAATGACGTCCCATAGGATGCATCATCCGAGATCGTCGGTAATGAAGCTGTACTTGCCACGAAAGCATGGTGGGCGTGGCTTCTTGAGCGCACTCACCATGCATAATCGCGAAGTGTGCAGCCTCCGTCATTACTTCCTGGCGAGATCGAATGATCCATTCTATAATGACGTCATTTCTAGTGATAAAGGACTTACCCCTATATCCTTAGCCAACGAGCAATGGCAGGACCCAGCAGTACAGAGCGTTTCCGATCGCGAGAACGTATGGAAGGAGAAGGAGCTCCACGGGCGGTACTACAGGGCTCTACATGAGCCCCACGTAGATACAGCCGCCTCTCTCAACTGGCTACGTTTCGGTGACCTCTTCGGGGAAACCGAGGGTTTTGTCTGTGCAATACAGGATCAGGTTATTAAGACCAACAACTATCGGAGATACATCCTAAAGGAGGGCACTGTCGACGTCTGTCGAGCTTGTCGCCATCCCGGGGAGTCACTTAGGCATGTCATCTCCGGTTGTTCGGCGCTTTCTGACTCTGAGTACTTGCACAGGCACAACCTAGTAGCCAGAAATCTACACCAGGAGCTCGCTTTGAAATACGGTCTCGTGAACCGGAAATTGCCGTATTGCAAGTACTTGCTGGAAGCCGTGCTCGAAAATGACCGCGCCAGGCTCTACTGGGAGCGGACCGTCATCACAGACAGGACTATTCTTGCGAATAAGCCTGATATTTTGCTGATGAACCGGGCACAGTCAAGGATATTTTTGGTCGACATTACCATTCCGTATGACGAGAACCTCGTGAAAGCCGAAACAGATAAACGAACAAAATATCTGGACCTGGCTCACGAGGTGACCGACATGTGGGGTGGTATGCCGGCCGAAATTATTCCTGTAGTCGTCTCTGCAAATGGGCTAATCCCAGTCAGCCTCTCGGGTCATCTGAGGCGACTGGGACTCCGTGACGGACCGCTCCGGGCTCAAATGCAGAAGGCGGTGCTCCTCGATACCGCCCGCATCGTCCGCCGGTTTCTTTCCCTTTCCTCCTAACCCTCGGCCGTTTGGTCTCCCCTGCCGAGGTGTTCCATCTAGTTGGGCTTTTATTTATTTATGTATTTTTGTATTTATTTTATTTTAATTATATTTATGTATATTTATCTTTTCATTTTAATTTATAATTATATATTTATAGAACCCAACCGGATGAGAAAACTATATTGACATCCCAAAAATAATGATAATAATTTATTGAGAAATAAAGCCTTAAACATAGGACAATGTTATCGTAGATTAATTGTAACAAAATGGCTAGCATAAGGGACTTATAGATAAGTTGATCCCCTGACTTTCATGCTAGGATAATCTGTGTTATGAAAGTCAGTGGTTCGGCTCTTGAAAACGTATTCTATATAACAGCATAGCGAGTTGATTTAAGTGGTGATTACATTATTACTTTACCTGACTTATACTTTTAAACAAAGTAATTAAATATGATAAAATCGCAAATGCAAAAAAAAAAAGATTAAAAAACATTAAAGACAAAATAAAAACACGGGAAGTAGAACATATAAAATAAACTTTCCTTTCTTTGAACTGTTATGTGTGTGTGTGTGTGTGTGTTTGTGTGTACGCGCGCGCGTGTGTGTGTGTGTGTGTGTGTGTGTGTGTACGCGCGCGCGCGCGCGGTGTGTGTGTGTGTGTGTGTGTGTGTGTGTGTGTGTGTGTGTGTGTGTGTGTGTGTGTGTGTGTGTGTGTGTGTGTGTGTGTGTGTGTGTGTGTGTGTGTGTGTGCGTGCGTGCGTGCGTGCGTGCGTGCGTGCGTGCGTGCGTGTGCGTGCGTGCGTGCGTGCGTGCGTGCGTGCGTGCGTGCGTGCGTGCGTGCGTGCGTGCGTGCGTGCGTGCGTGCGTGCGTGCGTGCGTGCGTGCGTGCGTGCGTGCGTGCGTGCGTGCGTGCGTGCGTGCGTGCGTGCGTGCGTGCGTGCGTGCGTGCGTGCGTGCGTGCGTGCGTGCGTGCGTGCGTGCGTGCGTGCGTGCGTGCGTGCGTGCGTGCGTGCGTGCGTGCGTGCGTGCGTGCGTGCGTGCGTGCGTGCGTGGCGTGCGTGCGTGCGTGCGTGCGTGCGTGCGTGCGTGCGTGCGTGCGTGCGTGCGTGCGTGCGTGCGTGCGTGTGCGTGCGTGCGTGCGTGCGTGCGTGCGTGCGTGCGTGCGTGCGTGCGTGCGTGCGTGCGTGCGTGCGTGCGTGCGTGCGTGCGTGCGTGCGTGCGTGCGTGCGTGCGTGCGTGCGTGCGTGCGTGCCGAACTAAGTAGAACTAAGTTCTAAGTAGAACTAAGTTCCTTAAACATAATAATGTGCATTTTAACATTAAACTGCTCTAAAATATACTCGTATGTTTCATTTATCCTTAATTTATTACGGCTTATCAATATACCACTGCTGAACATAGGCCGTCGCTATAAATAGCCTCATAGGAGAGTTATCTGAAAAAACGAAACCAAACTCATCACACCTAGTTCTACTAGTCTAGGAGTTCCATTTGTAACCACCTGATTACACCTTCAGGTCACTCAATCAAGTCCGGTGGTAAGGTCTCATCGTAACTAACAAAACGAACCCAAACTCGGCACACCTAGTTCTACAAGTCTAGGAGTTCCACTTGTAATCACTGAACTACACCTTCAGGTCACTCCATCAAGTCCGGAGATATGGACTCGTCATAACTAACAAAACGAAGCCCAAATTCGGCACACCTAGTTCTACTCGTTCAGAAATTCCAGCAGTAGTTACTGAATTACCCCTTCAGGTCACTCTATCAAGTCCGGTGGTAAGGTCTCATCGTAACTAACAAAACGAACCCAAACTCGGCACACCTAGTTCTACCAGTCTAGGAGTTCCAGTTGCAATCACCGATTTAGACCTTCAGGTCACTCCATCAAGTCCAGAGGTATAGACTCGTCATAACTAACAAAACGGAGCCCAAATTCGTCACCCCTAGTTTTACTCTGCAAAAAGTTCAAATAGCGGTCACGAAAGTACACCTTCAGGTCACGCCATCAAGTCCAGAGGTAAGGTCTCATCATAACCAACAAAACGAGCCCAAACTCGGCACACCTAGTTCCGCTCGTCCACGAGTTGCAGTAGTAGGTAAGTTTATATATCCTACTTATTTTTAGCTAAATAAAAACTGTGAGTATAAAAATAATAATTTTATCACTTGTCAAGTACTTATGTTTCCAATTTGTTTTTTTCTAATATTTTGTGTATGTACAGCGATCTTTTCAGAATGAGCCGCTGCAAACAGGCGATACAGTGTCCACTCACGACGGCGGCCGAGCGCGGACTGTGGTTTCATCGAAATCTTTGTACAATAAATCAAAGCAGGCACCAACAATAAAATAGCCCTTATTGCAATACATTATGATTCATCCGTATTACCAAAATATGTGAAAAAATGTGCATCAGTTTTTATTTTTTTTACGACTATTTGTGACATTTTGTTAAAAAATAAACCCAGGGTTTTTTTAATTGAATATGTCTGTCATCTTATAGTATTTTTTAATTTTTTTAAATATGTTGATAATAGACCAAAACATGTACCGAAACACAAGCCGGTATCGTTAATTTTGTAGAAAATGGCAACGAAAGTTCGTTTTTACAATATAAAAAACTACTATTTTCAACAAAAGAGTTACAGACATTTGCAGATGAAGAACCAATCTATACATGGTAATTTTTACTTATATTTGATTTGGTTTAGTTTTGTCACAAAATCTACCGAAAAACACCCTAATTTTGGTTGATTTGCAAACGCGTCCTTAACGTAATTCCTAAACATTTTTATTTTTAAAGAGGATTTTTGGGAATAAATCTAACTGATCTCATTTAATATTATAACATGTATAAAATAGAAAATAACATACTACCACATAAATATAAATAATAAGTCACGCCTTATTATTTAGATTTCTGTGCATACATGTAGTATTATGGTCCACAGTGGGAACTGATGAAGGAAGAATGGTAACCAGTATACCCCAGTTTTTCTGACAAAATTGAAATTTCTTATATTTTAAAACCTATATTTTCCGTATTTATATACTTGACAAATGCAGTTATTTATAATTAAAGTTAAATGAAAAAAGGACAATTTATATTTCTAAGTAGAACTAAGTTCCTTAAACATAATAATGTGCATTTTAACATTAAACTGCTCTAAAATATACTCGTATGTTTCATTTATCCTTAATTTATTACGGCTTATCAATATACCACTGCTGAACATAGGCCGTCGCTATATGCCTCGGGAGTGCCAACTGCACGTTGGTAGGTGGGCGTGTTTTTTCTTGATTTCGAAACCTTTTTTTTTGATTTTTTTGGTTTTAAGTGGCCAAATAATTTTTATCTTTCGAATAAAATATTTTCATACTTTCATTTGTAATAGAAGTTTAAGAAAAAAATAAGAACATGTTAAAAACAACAAACAAGTTAAGAAGCCGAGATTTGGTTGAAATGGTGTTTATTTATAAAACTTAATGCTATATATATAGCCAGTGTCAACTGTTTTATTAATGTTTAATGTATAAACAGTGTCAGCTACTCGGACGACATGGTGTTTCTGAGTTCGTCAGTTATTGCTCTAAGAAGGCTGATCTCGGTATGCGAGGAGTATGTGAAATCCCACGGCCTCTTGTATAATGTTAGCAAAGCGAGTTGATGGTTTTTCAAGCTAGGACCCGTAAGCTGATGTATGTGCCGGTCAAACTTAACGGTACCGAACCGCCACTGCCGTTTCCATCCTTCAAGTATCTCGGTTGCGTGGTTACCGAGAACTGGAAGGATGACAAGGATATTGAAAGGGAAAGGATGGCAGTCCGCTGCAACTTGTAGCTGTCCCGATGTGAAAATAACTTTGCTTAAGGAGTACTGCCAAACCCTTTGGGTTGGGTTGTGCAATCTATGGGTCAACTACACGCGGAGGCTGTGATCGCTCTCCGAGTATAATATAACAATGGTTTGAGAATGTTGTTGGGGCTTTCAAGTTACTGCAGTGCGTCAGAAATGTTCACGCTGGCGCACACTGATGGGTTTCACACCATAGTGCGCAAGCAAATCGCATCCCTCCTGCACAGTGCGGGGAAGTGCCAACATCATTTTCAAAGTTATGAGTGAAAAGCCTGACTGATCGATATTCGATACTGCGGCACTGAGTGTACCACAGAAAAAGTAGTAATATATCTATTATGATTTCTGTGGGGTGTACACATGTTGCAGCGGTGTCGCGCACTAAAGGCAGATATTTAAACTAGAATTAATCGTTTTCAAGACATGTTACGAACACAGCTTTTTAAGCTCTCTTTTTTGTAACACTAACAATATGGACAAACATCTGAAATAAAGAACGATAATTGTTTCTTTGTTTGAATTGAATAGGCTCCGAAACTACTGGGTCAATTTGAAAAATTCTTTTAACATTGGAATGTGTACTTTTTGTTTTAACCTCGCACTGACAAAATATCTATATTATGTCCTACAAATAATTGTCTCAGGTCTAAATGTTTATTCAAGTCCGATTTCTGTATGTAAAACGATACGAAACACTTTACATATAATATAAATCTACTATGGGGGTTCAGCTTTAATTTTCGTTAAACAAAACTTGTCATACATTGACACTGACCTCTATATACAAGTACGTGTATATATGTATAGAGGTCAGTGTACTTTGAGCTATCTAATCTAAATATTTCTTAGTTAATTCTTTTATATACTACGAGTATGTCAGCTATTATGTAGGATTAATAATAATCGGTTCGAACTTTTTTATAAAACGCACTCAGTTCAAAATGATTTTCAAGAGGTATTTATGATGTCTTCATTTGTTTGTATATAGATAATTTACCTAATATTACTATTGTTGAACTCCTATAACAACATGTACTTTAATATTGACAATACTTAAATTATATAAATATACTTAAATTAAGCATTTATATTCAAGAAAACATTAAGTATAGATATTCTATGTAAAGATTTCATAATGTTTTAATTTTTGTACGTTTTAACCAGGTATTTATATTACAAGTAAAATTTTTAGGAAACTGAGCTTGAATATGACAACCTTTATAATGTTTCCATGTCCGAAAAAGTAACTGCCTCTATGATATTGTGCATAATATTGCGATACTTTATCTAGAAAATAGTTGATAGTTTCCGAATATAATGGGAATTTCTCATCGTAGTCGGTACTGGCAAGGTACTCGTAGCAACCATGGTCATCAGTATGCAGCACACAATGTAAAAGAACAGGAATATTATTAACTTACCCAACAAAAAATATTACACATTTAAAAGCTACGTAACCTTGATAGATTCATAATCATGTAAACGTTAGATACATACTTGAAATATGATATAAAACAACATACATCTTAAAATTTGCTCTACTGGTGTAATATATATAATTTTTATTTTTTTATTGTAATAAATCAATGCTTTATTGGGTTTTACGCACACAAAAACAAAGATAATAAGCAAAAAACTGTTTTCGTAATTTAATAACTCTATTTATTGAAAACTACATATGAATCCAGTTAAATAAAAATAACATATAATTTAGTATTCATTATGAATATTACATCATTCATTTATAAATATATTCAAAGAAGGAACGTAACAAAATAAAAAATTGTGACTCATACACCTAATAAAATGATTAAATTTACCACATTATGAGTGCGAGGCCGATTAATTACACTAACATTTCACCGTTATCTATCACGAAAGTAGCACCTGTTATACTAGCAGCGCGATCACTTGCAAGATATAAAATTAGGTCAGCGACCTCTTCACTTTTCGCCATTTTGCGAAGCGGATTATTTTGGTCTCGGCTTTCATATAATTTTTCCGTTTGTTCTTTACTCATTCCTGCAGCTTCCGCAAAATTAGTCTTTGTAGCGCCTGGATTTACTGAGTTTACTCGAACACCATCTCCTGCTAATTCTAAAGCAACACATCTAGTGAACTGATCGAGTGCGGCTTTTGACATACAATATGCCAAAAATGCAACATCTTTTATTGGTTTCAAAGCGGCAACACTTGACACGTTAATGACATTCCCCTTAGATTGGACGAGGTAAGGCGTAGCTAGACTGGTCAACAAATAGACAGGACGAACATTAGTTGCCATAGCGCGGTCATATATTTCTACACCATCGCGGATACCGCCACGAAATCCAATACCGGCATTATTCACAAGGACATCTATACGCCCAAAGTGTTTAATCGTTTCATCAAATATTTTTTTTACGTCTTCATCGTTAGTAAGGTCCGCTCTGACAGTTAGGGGCTCAATACCTTTGGCATCCTTGCATTTCTTTGCAATATCTAATAACTTCGTCTCGTTTCTTCCCACTAACACAACTTTAGCAGATTGTTTTGCAAATAAAACAGCTGCAGCCGCCCCAATACCGCTGCTGGCACCCGTTATTATGACAACTTTGTTACTGAAGTCCATTGCCGGCGATGTCACAATAACAACTACCAAAAATTTACTGCGTAGATTGTGAGGCGAGGTCGACCTTGCTCATTGCGATGGGCTAGTTTTTATCTACATCTACTATAATAATATATAGAGGAAAGATTTGTTTGTTTGAATTGAATAGGCTCGGAAACTACTGAACCGATTTAAAAAATTCTTTCACAATTGAAATCTACATTATCGCTAATGAACATAGGCTATAGTGTTTTATATATATATATAAATATATATATATATTATGGCTATGTATATTTTAAAGTTAGGGTCCGTATAAAAACTTTGTTAATTTTAGCCCACGGTGTGAAAAAATACCAAAAAAAATCCTTATATCGCGTACGCTGCGGAAACTATTGACAATAGGGCAAAGTGATGTATTAAGTTTTATAGAAAATATCAATATCTACAAAAAAGTCCCTGATACCATATATCTAACTATTACAGTTATGTCACATTAAATTTCGCGCGGACGCAGTCGCGGGGAACAGCTAGTCATACTTATAAAGTAGAATAACATGATAACACGATTAACACGATTATAGCACGAAAGATAACATGTTGAAAAAACAATTACATAGTACTTCTTGAATATACTTTTTAATAATTTCGGTAGTGGCAGTGTACCCTTTGATTATATACCTGCCTATATAACCAAAAGAGTACGGTTTAATTACACGATTAACACGATTATAGCACGAAAGATAACACGATGAAAAAACAATTACGTAGTACTTCTTGAATATACTTTTTAATAATTTTAATAGTGGCAGTGTACCGTTTAGTTTAATTCATAAAATTAAACAAAAAAAAAGAAACTTCCGCGTTTTATGAAAAATAAATCAAGGATTTTTATAGGTAGCCAGTTTTATAGGTAGACCAAGGTAGCCAAAAGACCGCAAATTTCATGGTACGCTGACAACTTGGGTCAATCTCCGCTGTCACCATTCAAATTGCTAATTGCAATTCAAAAAAAAATTATTGTTGTATACAAATTGCATTGATCACTACTTTAATGAAGTAGTTATTTTCCTTGTCTTCGGCAGTCCAGGAAAATGTCTCTGCATGTCTGGGCACGGTAACCCTCTCCGAAACAAGGTGGGCCTATGCCGAACCATGGGACATCTTAAGCTGTAACTTTAACTTTTCAACTTCAAAGTATGACCAGGTGAAGGAAAGGGGAAGGAAAAACTTAATTCTATTTATGTGATTCGTTAAGATCGTAGAGGATTTAGTTTTAATAGTTAACTACAATACTAGCACGCTAAAAGTGCTCCTATTTTCTTGAATATAAGATAGATACACTTAGAATACAAATTCACATAATCTAAACAAGATGTTTAAAAATCGTCGATACCTACATATTTAACATATTGGTTTTTATTATATTACTACTTAAATAACATTTTATAATAAGAAACAGAATTAATGGTGTTTTAATTTATTTGAGAAAAAACTTTACTGGACTGTGTACTGTGGACTGTGTCAGATGTCACTCTTTTGTTCCTTCGCTACTCATTTTCCTTGCTCACTTGTCACTGATTTAGTTATTTTGTGATTAACGTAGTCGTAATGGCTATACGGTCATTTATTGGAATATATAACATTTCCTATGGTACTCTACCAACAATATGAGTTGATGGATTCTCTAAATTAAAATTAAAATCAATACTTATTTGATTTTTTTTTCCATTATAAACGTCATAATTCAAACAGAAACACTATTCCGTAAAAATTACACCCAGTGCAGTTTATGGTGGATTTATATTTCCCGTACGGTAACATGATCTCAGACAGATGTCTCGTCCATTTTAATGTACTTGGTCAGACAGTTCGTGAGACTAAATCGTACATTGAGTTTTATTTTGTACAAATATAAAATATATTTGTACAAAAATATTCAATATATTCAATATTTGCAGAAAGCAACATAAAGAGTTATGGCCCGGGTACAAGAACTATATTACTAAAGCTCAGACTTGCTCTCTGAGCTGGTTATTAGTGTTACTATTTTCATTGCCCTTTGATTCCCTCGTTCTTATTCATGTTGTTTTTAATATTTTGATTCCAAAGCTAAAACACACTCACAATTATTTCAAAATGTTGGTTGTGTATGTGTAGTATACCTTTTTATTTTGTCTGAGGTGCTTACAGATAATTTTATTTCACCATTAAGTATGAATATTTTTTTAAAAAAATACGTTTAATTAGTAAGTTTTCTACAAATTGAATCTCACTGAATACACCACATCGCATTGAATTTCGTATTTTAAATATAGTACAAAAGGTTATTTTACATTAAGTTCTGACCGTTATCAATAACCCGTTGTAGAGCCACACTGCAGCTATTATGGTTGTAGAATGAATGGGTCGGCTCGACCGGGGAAGGACCACGCTCTCACAGAATACCAGCGTAAAATAGCAGCTTAATGCTGCTGTGTTTCTTATGATGAGTGTAGAAAACCGGAGACCCGTTATACTGGAATCTAGGCATTCCATCTTAGTGCTCGAGGGTGACAACGCAAGTAGTTAGTTTTTACCAGCTCTGGCTCACTGATTTAGAAGTGGTACAACGTTCGTCGACTCACGATCGTAAAAAAAAAGGTTTTGGCATGCTCTGATCACGAATCTCCGTTTTTGCGTAGGATGCACGGTTCCGGAGATGTGCAGATCAATTAACTCTTATCTAAATGATATCCGGTGAGGGCCTCCACCGTCATTAGCACACCATTGTTCTTATCTATTATGTTCATTGAATACCGTCATTATCTATTCTTCCCCGGTGTATGCGTCGGATTATCAGTGCTATTGTATTATACTCCTTTGTTCCTAACTGCAACGCTAATCTGAATCATCAATAAAAATAAATGGTCACCAAAAAAAATGCTCACTTTACTCATAACGATGACGAATTTTTACTTATCAGTTTGTTTTATAAACAAAATGGTAAGTAAAAATATAACCTATATTTACATGTTTATTACTTGCTTCTAGCTCACTGTTTGAGTGGATACTAGGACTAAGGAAGGCATTCAAAACGGTTTGGATGCCTAATTTTTCACTACCTCTCAATGGCATACCACGGTTATCAATATTTCTTTTATATATGGTTACCTTTATACGACGACAGCGGACGTGATAAAGTTTTACACGGGTCTACCATAGATAATACCTATGTATAAGAGACTCTATACGCCGCGCTGCGGACGACTGGCGGGACTGTTTGGTCGGCCCGCGCGTTATTTAATCGCACACAATTTAGTTAATAATTCTTTTTAAAATGGTATAAGTTCTTTTATTGAAAAAGAAGCCCATAATTCACTCAGGTATTTACTGGTGAACACATAGCCTGAATTTAATTGAAATTGATTTCATTACATTCAAATGAAACTGCGTTTTCACTTAGTGGACGTACCAAAATTGTAGATTTTGAGGAAATTTTGCGATCTTTTTGTATCGGGCCAAAATGTTTCAATCGTATTTTGGCCACCATAAATCACTAAGAAGAATCTTTAACTTTCATAATGAATTTAAAAAAAATGTGAATTCATAGTTTTTAATGACAAAAAATTGCTTTTGAAGCGTGAAAAATCTGCTTTTAACGCCCACATCACCTTAAATGTAGATGTCCATGGACCACAGCATCCACTTACCATCAGGTGGACTGTGTGCTCGTTTATCACTCTTATCCTATAAAAAATAGTACCTATGATACCAAAGGCGCGCTCGCTTGCGAGGTATAGAATAAGACCTGCAATCTCTTTACTTTTCAAAGTGGAATAAATGCGGATCACGAATCTGCGGTCCATTTTTGCGTAGGATGCACGGTTCCGGAGATGTGCAGATCAATTAACTCTTATCTAATTACTCTAATTACTCTATGCAAGAGGTATGTATAAATCTATCTTTTTCGTGTGCGAATGCGAAAGAAGGCGTCAATTTGTCTATAGGTTTCTCTTTCTGCGGTGTAAAATATACTTGATTGGCATTAACATTGTAACATTATTGCCACAATTATAGGGATTACGTGAAGTTTATGATTATTTAATGTAGCAGCAATAGATTAATATTTTAATCTAAAAATAAAATTATGTCAATGGTCACACCTTTAATGAAAAAAACGTGTTTCCGAAAACTTCTATCTTCAATCTTGTTCACTATTATAATATATTATACTTCCGCTAGTGGTGTAAGGAAACCCACGACACCATTACGTCACGAGAATGGCGTAATAGACGACTATCAGTACTCAAGACCCCGATAGATGGCGGTGTATATGACAGACCTTCTCAAGAGGCAATATGAGATCGACTCCATAGGTATTTCGTTCAAGAGCATACCATGGCGGAAAGATGAGCGCGCTGTCGACATATTCCAGCGCACTGTCAAGGATTGCCATGGAGGGACAACGACGTCAAGCTGCCGCCGAGCCGATGATATGGCAGAACGAAAACTCCGAGCCATGGAAAGGAACATGGAGCGATCACCGGTGTTGAACGACCTCCTGGAGAAGGGCTATGCCAAAGAAACTGACGGGTCAGAACGAGAGGATCCAAAGAGCTGGTACCTGCCACACTTCGCTGTATGGAACGCGAACAAGCCGGAAAGCTGAGGCTGGTAATCGATGCAACAGTGCAAGTGCAAGTGCCTGAACGATCATTTATTAGACGGCCCCGACTTGTTACGTAATTTACCGGATAAATTGTTTCGGTTTCGTGAAAACGAGATAGCGGTGTCAGCGGACATTAGAGAGATGTTTCTGCGTGTTAAAATCGATCGCCGCGACCAACCGGCGCAATTATTTTTATAGCGAGGTAACGATCGTAGTAGTCCTCCGAGAGAGTACGTAATGACTTCGATGATATTCGGAGCGAGAAGTTCACCTTATCTCGCGCACTGTGCGTTAGGGACCACAACGCGTTTACGTCGAGACACATCCGCGTGCCCTCAACGATATAGTCAACAGTCATTATATGGACGACTACTCAGACAGCAACGCAACGTTACACGAGGCAATCGAGACGGCTAGGCAGGCACTGAGGTACACGGCAAAGCAGGCTTTACGTTAGCAGGCTGGAATTCTAATCATTATTAACTACTAAACAAAATTATTAAGCGATAAACCAGAAAAACTGCTAGCACGCAAGCCCAAGGAGGTTGGCGCCGACACAGGACGGTCCCGGAAGGACCCTAGGTTTGTTATGGATAGCAGAGAAGGGCGTTTTAACGTTTAACACGTCTAATAATAGGGTGCCTGCCGCACGAAGTAAAATTACTGCACCACCCACCGACTAAAAGGGAGGCGCTGAGCGCGGTTATGTCCGTTTTCGAACCATTTGGACTGCTCTGATCTCTCTGCTCTGAGATTCTGCTGCAGGACTTGTGGCGTATGAAGAGAATCGTTTGGGATGATAAGATTCCCGAGGAGGCTGCGGACGAATTTGCAAGATGGTTACGATCCGTCGAAGAGATTTCACAGTTACATCTTCCGCGGTGTTATGCTCCTACGGAAGGGAGGAGGAGTAGAAGATCGGCAATTACTTATTTTAGTGATGCAAGTGAAAGTGCGTACGCATCCGCGGCTTATTGGCGTTCTCGTTATCGCGAAGGTACGGTAAGGGTCACGTTAGTAACGCCTAAAGCAAAAGTCGCCCCGATTAAAAGTCAAGGTATACCACGACTCGAGCTACATGCAAATTTAGTAGGTGTACAACTTGCTGAATTCGTACAGAGCGAACATAGAATAAGAGCGAATAGGATCTTATTTTGGACTGACTATACGAAGGCGCTCCATTGGATTAGAAACAATACGGCGCGCTACGCTCCATACATTTTGTTTGATTTCCCAAAAATTCTATCATTCGTCATCAACATTTTTAAAAATTGTTTTTCTGTTGAACCACCTTTGTATTATATAGTATACTATAACTAATGTTAGTAACTTTATGCGTCAACAAGCTTATCTCACATTCTGTTGCTTATCTCAGCATTACTTCGTGTTGCGTCTTATTCAGTGTATTGATGACTCAAATATGTTTTATATAACACAAAATAATGCAATTTAATATTTAGAAATCACTATAATTGATCATTCCTATGTTAGTCATTGAGTAGATTGTACTGTAATAATCTACTAATAGTAGTAATATCATGGATACACTAGATGTACAACAACATATGAAAAAGATTCACCCCAGTCTAGAAAATAATGTTTATGCTGCTAATAGACTGCCCATGTACACCCACGTACCAACGTATATACCTAGTCAGGTCATAAGCATAAGTATTGTCACACAGTAAAAACTTTTCTTTTAGAATGCTGGCCACAAAAAAGTTTATTGAATTCGAATTGTTCATGAAAATAAACCCGTATACTTTTTAGAATTTTACTCATTTTTAAATATGGAGTGGACGCTTAAAGAAGACCGTGTTGCAGTTATTGCGTTGCATCGTTGCGGTTACGTGCCAATTCAAATTTTTGACATACTGAAAAATTTGAATATAACCAATAGATTCGTTTATCGTACCATCAAACGATACAATGAAGACTCTAGTGTAGATGACAGGTCAAGAAGTGGGCGCCCTCGGTCTGTTAGGACTCTAGCAGTGATAAAAGCTGTAAAGGCGCGAATTCAAAGAAATCCCAAACGTAAGCAGAAACTGTTGGCCCTTCAGATGGGGTTAAGCAGAACCACGGTGAAAAGGGTGTTAAATGAAGACTTAGGGCTTCGGGCATATCGAAGAAAAACAGGACATCGTTTGGATGCTCGTCTAATGGACCTGAGACTGAAGAGATGCCACGCTTTGTTGGAGCGGTACGCGGGAAAAAATATCGGGAAATTCTTTTTTCGGATGAAAATTTTTTTACCGTAGAAGAGAGCTACAACAAACAAAATGATAAGGTGTACGCACACAGTAGTGAAGAAGCGAGCAACCGTATTCCGCGTGTCCAACGAGGTCATTTTCCATCCTCGCTCATGGTATGTTTGGGAGTTTCTTATTGGGGCTTAACAGAGGTACATTTTTGTGAGAAAGGTGTAATAACGAATGCAGTTGTGTATCAAAATACAGTACTGACGAACCTTGTGTAACCTGTTTCTCATACCATGTTCAATAACAGGCACTGAGTATTCCAACAAGATTCGGCGTCAGCTCATAAAGCGAAGAGCACACAAGACTGGCTGGCGGCGCGTGAAACGATATCATCTAAAGTTTTTAAAAAGGAATTGTAAAAGATGGAACTGGAATGTTGATAGGATTCAGAATGAGTGGACTTCAGTTTGTGGCGAATATTGTTTAATGTATTTGCTATATAAGTTTCAGGGATGTTCAATGCATAGTTTTACAGGGAACACATTGTACAACGATATTTTAGTGGATGAGATGTTTCGCTCCTATTTTATAGATAATAAGTAATAAGATTTTGTATTTTGTAAATAAAAATTTTAACAAAATTAGGTAGTGTTTTATTGATGAGTCAGATTCGTGTAGATAGGAACAAAGGAGTATAATACAATAGCACCACGCTGAGGAAGAATAGATAATGACGGTATTCAATGAATAATAGATAAATAGATAAGAACAATGGAGCGCTAATGACGGTGGAGGCCCTCACCGGATATCAATTAGATAAGAGTTAATTGATCTGCACATCTCCGGAACCGTGAATCCTACGCAAAATGCCAAAACCTTTTTTTTTAGGATCGTTAGTCGACGAACGTCGTACTTGTACCACTTCTGACTCAGTGAGCCAGAAATGGTACTAACTAACTACTAACAAATGACATGTGTGTAAATTTATATGAAAATAATTAGTGATGGTGTTACCTTCTACTACAACTGAATGGAACGTCATACAATTAAACATAAACACTGTTTGAATGGCAAGTTTTTAAGTGGCAAAACTAAACTAATGCTCTAAAATTGCGATGAACAACAAATAAAAGTATGTACATAAAACTACCAATGTGTTAAATAACCATATTGAATTACGGCAACTGTGTCAATAATTGCAACAGTAACATAGTGAAATTATTTAAAGCGGTAATATGATTTCTGAACACCCTCATACTTTTTATTTTTATAAAATTACATTTAATGGTGCAACGAAGTATGAACTCATTGGTGACGGACTGTAATGCGGCTCAAAACATTATATGGTCGTCCGATACTGCACAATGTATGCCTTACATGGTGGTAATATAAATCTCGCAGCTGATAACTATTTACATTGGTTTTTTTTTCTCTTTATTACTGTTTTACTTTATTACTTAGAGAAAATATGGATAGAAAAATAGCTCAGAAAATGGTCAACCCTAATTGTTTTAAGTGCCAAAGAAAATAAATAAAAAAAGATATACTTTGTTGTGCATCTTGCAAAAATTTTACGACATAACGTATGCACAAGTACTAAGTGCCAAAGTTAATATTATGGAAAAATTAAAAAAGGAAAGCTGGAAATGCCAAACTTGCAAAGCATATCATATCAATAGCGAGTGAAAACACCGACACTGCCTTTGCATCTAACGTGACAAAAAGAAGCACTGGGCATAAGGCACTTCCAGTAACGCCATTGCGTAAGTCTGAAGAAGAAGAATCAAATAGTTCCGATGATGACCTACATAGCCTGCCAGATATTAGTACTTATAAAAATGACAGAGAGGAAGAGTTGTTAAAAGAAATCGCCCATTTGAAATTAGAATTAGAAAAAGCTCATAATGAAATAGAAAATTTGAACATGGGAAATACAAAATTAGAAAAGCAAATTTTAGAAAAGGAAACGCTGACTGTAAAATGGAAGAAACTATTTACTGAAGCCATGAGCACACCCAATAAACGCGCATCTCTTACAAAGCGAAATACCACGGAAAAGAAAAAAGATAAGAAATTTGGACAAAGCCGATCAATAGAGTTAGATGAGTCAAACTGTAGTGCTATAGAACTAGAGAATACAAATATGCCTATAATATTAAATAAATCAAGATTATACAATGAGAAAACTAAACAAAAGCCAAAAAGCAATAGCATTGTAATATTTTCGGATAGTATCGGACAAGGATTGGCGTCAAAGATAATAGAAAAAACTGAATTTCAAGCAATTTACAACTGTAAAAGATTAAAGATCTCGAAAAAAAATGATACAGTAGCAGTACTTATTATTAAATATGAAAGTTCTCTTTATCATAATCAACAAAAGTACATAAAACTATTGAACGACTTTGTAAACCAGCCTTATAGGAAATTTAACATGATAATCACTGGTTTGCGTTATAATAGCAAGAATGACAACGAGATTTACCATATCAACAATCAGATATTTAACATAGCTAAAGTTAGCGAAAATATCAAATTTCTGGACTCGAATATGATAAAAAAAATACAAGGAACTATAAATTATTGAAAAACTTCATCATAGAAAATGTAGTAACAATTATAAACTGCAAGTTTCAAGGATCATCTTTACTGCGTTTCATCAAATGCCAAAACGAACACACTTCCTCAAGTGATAAAGGTACAAATTTTTCAACAACTCAAGAATCGATTCGAAAACGATAATTCTTCATGCGAATGTTCGAAGCATACATAAAAAATACTTAGAAATCGAAAGCTTAGCTAATGAACAGGACTGCGACGTGTTGTATTTGACGGAGACGTAGGGTAAAAACTGTTAGATACAAGCGATGACTATTGAAAACTATACACTCGCAACTTGTTTTAACAGAATAGTTTTCGAACACGGTGGAGTGGTGATATATGTGGAAAATACTTTACAATATAAAATTAGGAACGACTTGAATAAACTATTATTTGAAATGAATTGTGAATTAGCAGCAATAGAATTAAAATCCTCAAAACCAATAATCATTGCACTATACCGACCTGACTATGATATCAGTCTATTCTTTGAAATACTTACAAAACTTTCAAATAAAGTCAGTATGTCGAGAGAACAAACAAATTGTAATAGCAGGTGACTTGAACTTAAATGTTTCAAAAATTGACACAAATATTAAAAAACTTGACAGAATACTTAAATTTTTTTATTGTAAATGGGTATTAAACAAACTGACTAGAACCGAAACAAATAAACGAAATAAAACCGGTTCTACTTATATAGATAACTTTATTGTCAATTTTAATGAATATAAAGGATGTGTAATAAGTGAAAAACTTTCTGATCATAATGTAATTAAATTAGAATTAGTTAATCTAAAAAACTGTATCAATAAATGTCAAACTTATGTAGGTAGAAATTTTTCAGGGAATAATCTTGATTACTTTAATTATTTGTTTAATAAAAATTACAACTTTAATTATTTGTTTAATAAAAATTACAATGTGATTAAATCAGAAATTATAGTGACTGAAGACGCGAATACAAGAATGAGAATTTTACAAGATGCGTTGCATCATTATTACAACATTGCTTTTCCAAAAATAAAAAAACAAATAAGAAGCAAACTTAAAAAATGGACTACATTAGGTATAGAAACAAGTAAGAAAAACTTAACTAAAATGGAAATATTACAAGAACATTACCCTAGCGAACAGAGAAAATTAAAAATTAAAAAATATAAGAAATTATTGCTAAAAACAATGATATCCGCTAAAAAATACAATATCGGAACAGGATTAAGGAGGTAAAAAATAAAATTAAAGAATCGTGGATTATTATAAATGAGCAGATAGGACAAAAGAAACTACAAAACACACAATCTAAAATTGAATCTATAAGAATCAATAGTGGGCAGATTATTACAGAATCTCAAAAAATTGCAAGAAGTTTTAATAATTTTTTTGCAATATTGCACATCGATCAACAAGCAACAAAAAGTTGACGCAAAAAACTGCATGAAGTATTTAGATTGTTCAAATAGACCGCTTACATCTATTTCTTTTTACCCATTAGTTTATACAGAGCTAAAAAAGGTTGTTACTAGTATGAAGCAAAAATCTACGTTAGACATTAACGATATGAACACCTGAACATTAAAAAATCTTATTAGAAAGAACAATAATTTATTCGAGTTGTTATTTATTGTTGTCGATTCCTGCTTAGTTAATGGCATATTCCCCGACGTACTCAAACCGGGTAGGGTAATTCCACTTTTCAAAAAAGGGGATTCCACAGAGCTCAGTAAATACAGGCCAGTTTGTATATTGCCGACTTTATCAAAAATATTAGAAGCCATTATAAAATCTAGAATTGTAAGTTAGTTTGAAGAAAATCATTTATTTACAACGGCACAATTTGGATTTAGAAAGTGACGTTCAACCGAAATAGCCATAGGAAAAGTAATTTACTTCATTGTAGAATCTTTGGACAATTCCAATAGATGTGCCAGTGTCTTTTGTGGCCTATCAAAGGCTTTTGATTACTTGCGACATGATGTAATGTTATTAAAATGGCAGCATTATGGTTTTCAAGGAGCTGAACTAAATATGATCAAAACTTATTTAAGTAACCGTAGCCAAATTGTTTCAGTAAATGAGCAAATTTTTTTAGCGAGTTATGTGTCGATTGGAGTACCACAAGGCTCGATCTTGGGTCCTGTTTTGTTTTTGTTCTATATTAATGATCTTGGCAATGCAATACCAGATTATACACATTTAAGTTTATTTGCAGATGATACACATATTGGTTTAAGAGATAAAAGTCTATCAAATTTAGACGATAAAATTAACAATGTCATGAGTTTGCTAAAAGAATGGTTTGGCGCAAATGGTATTATTCTAAATTCTAATAAAAGCATTGTAATGTACTACCAACCGAGGCTAGGCATTCGTGATAACTAGAATACTAAAAAACATGTATTTTTAGGATATACAGTAGATAGCACAATAAACCATAAAGCTCATATTGAAAAAATTTGTCAGAAAATAGCTAGCGGTAATTACGCATTATTTAAGCTAAAGCCATTATTAGATAAAAAGACACTCATATCTGTGTACTATGCCTACATTCATTCTGTAATAAGATATGCCATTACTATTTGGGGTAAAGCTCCGGATGTTATAAAAGTTTTAAAATGTCAAAAACAATCTATAAGAATAATCAATGGTCTAAAAAAAAGTAGCCCGGCAAGAAAACATTTTAAGAACCACCAAATAATGACAGTGGTTTCGCTTTATATATATAATCGTTTATTAGAGGTACATGACATGAGTATAAAGAAATACCGAAAAAGAAAGACATAAATCAGCACAATCTACGTAATAATGAAAAACGTGTTCTACCCATGAATAGATTAGTGAAAGTAAAAAAACATGGGTGTTACTCAAAAATTGATGTATAACAAATTACCAAATAGTTTAACCAGCCTACACTATAGCAAATTTAAACGGAAACTTAAATATTTTTTTGAGGACAACCCATTTTACAAATTAAGCGAATACATGTCAATGCAACTCATGGAATCATCATTCTTGTGTAACGTACAAACAAAATAAATTACCTAATTCTATGACGTAAAGCGTCAATGTAACTAAATTAAGATACAATAATATAATTGACCTCGATGACCTCGTGATCATAGCAGACGGCAACCTCCCGAGGAACGTATGGCCGAGTGGAGTCGTCACGAGGACCTTCCCAGGACCAGATAAAGTGGTGTGAAATGTCGAAGTCAGAACGAGAAGAGACCTGCTGAGGAGGCCGGTCAGGAAGATCGCCATCCTCCCGAAAGAAGACGACTCGTGAACTACGCTGGAGGGAGGATGTTACGGACGGCGAAGAAGCAACCGCCCGTCACCTCGCACCGCACTCGCTTCGACACGTCTCCCGCACCCCGCACCAGAGCAAGGCCCTGCAAAAACGGACGAGCGCTTACACCAATTCTGTGCCTACGTGACCCCGGCAGCGGCTATATAAGACGAGCTCCCGACGTGATTTTTTTTCATCCTTAGCAGCATTTTGATTCTGGATTTACGTCCGTTCGTACGTCCATCTGCATAGTAGCGCGATTAATATCACTAGTTTTCAGTTCAGATTATATGGTTGGTACGAATCTACTTCCTAGTGTGGACAGACTGCCGTAATCATTGAGCTACGACGGATAACCATTAAATTTTGGAAGTGTAATTCAAAATTCCGTTCTCAGTGATTATAATAAATAAATCGTAAAGGGTTCGCTCTTACGTTAGTAATTTTCCATGCGTTTAAAAAAATTAAACATTGTGACAGCGGAATAGCGTGCCTTATGGCGGCATCTCACTGCGTGTGTTATTACGCTGCGCGCTGCCCGTGTTGATTTGTACGCGCAAGCACGCGCCACGTGCAAGCATGCGCCATGCGCGAGTCCCGCGTCACCCGTTTTAACTGGCGTGGCGTGGCGCATACTTGCCCAAACTCCAAGCCACTGAGTCAGTCTGTTTAGCGTAGCGCACCTGATGTCGTGTGAGTCGAATTGCCACCTACCGCCATGGAGCAATTCCACTAAAGAAGAAGGCATCCTTATTGCTTCAGCCGCTTTTGTCTTATTTTGTGGATATCATTTACTTAATAAAATTAACGAAAAAAAGAGAAAAGGCGCTGGTGGATGACATCGCTAAAATTAAAAATTCAGCAATCGTCTCATTAGACTACTCCATATCAATATAGACGTAAGAGTACCTCAAAGTCTGACGAGTTCAATCTTGTAAGCACACGCCGCGCCCCGCGCGCCCGCGCACAGACGCTCGAGCCCGCGCCGCACCACGCCGCGCCTTTAACTTACCGATTTTAAACAGATAGCACGCGCCGCGCCACGCCTGCCCGCGCCACGCAGCGCCAAGCCCTTCACACTGTGAGTGGCGCGCGCGGGCGCGGCGCAGCGCGTCCCAACACACGTGGTGAGAAGCCGCCATTAGATGGGCCCTGTATCAAGAATTGTTGGGGGGCCTAAATGAAAGGCCCAAAACCGCTCGCATAGATTTAAATAATTATATATTGATTATAAGTTAATAATTACTATTAATACTCCTTGGAACTATGCTAGCCAAACAATTTATATCAAATATACCCTTTTCTTGTCTTTTTCGTCGAACTTAATAGGTCGGGGAAAAAGTTTTATTACATTAATGACATAATATATATGCGCCATTTTGTTCGATAACTTGTTGCCATCTTATAGGCAGATGACATAATCCCGTTGCTGTAGAAATTTTGCGATTTTTGATCACAAATTCGACTAGTCGTTTTGACAGTCCTCCCTTAAAGTTAAGTTAACACTACCCAAAGAATTCTGAAGCGACCGAAACAGTTTAAAAACCTGAGGGTGCAAGGTCAAGAATATATGGTAGATGCATTAAGACTTCCCAACCAAGCTCTATAAAATTTTCTGAGTGGCTAAAGATCTGTGTGGTCTGGCGTTAGCATGATGAAAGACCACTCCTTTTCTATTCGTGAATTCCAGCCGTTTT